TTGCGGTCAACCTTGATTGTACCTGATAGAAGCGCGTCATGCTCTCTACCTCTCAGCTCTTCTCGCTCCTCCACCCCCATGTCTGTCTATGCGGGCTAGTGCTCGCTTCTGCTCTACGGCGCAAGCCGACAGCCCAGCTGAGCATGGCAAGACGCCATGCGACATCCGATGCGAGCCCGGGGAGAGAAGACATGACGACGTCGCTGCTACAGGCGAGGAGGCAGCGGAGGGGATCAAGGACGGAAGGAGGAGGGAAGCGGAGGGGAGGGAGGGGAGGAGGAGACTTGTATCATGTGAGAGAAGCTTGAGCAAGGTTCCTCCCTCCCCTCCTCTCTCCCTCCAGCTCATCAGACGCGAGGAGATGGCCGGGGAAGGAGGTTGACCACACGCGAGGGGAAAAGAAGGGTGGGTGAGGGGATGGGGTCAGGGGTGGGCCGGGGAGGGTGGGCGGTCACCAAAGCGCGTCAGAGTAGGGGGTAATGCCACTAGGGAAGTTAACCACGCGCGAGGGGAAGAGAGGGGTGGGTACGGACAAGGAGGGGTGGGGGGTCATGCGAGGGGTTCCAACCCATCCAAGCATGAGGTAGGGAGTGAGAAAGAGGAGCGAGATGGAGGCATGTGCCCAGCAGCTGGAGAGGTAGCCAGGACTTGTGCTGGGGTGCTGCTGGGAGGTCTGGTATGAGAGAGGGAGGTACAAGGAGAGGGAGAGAGCTGACATGGCGATCACACAAGGTCGACGGGGAGGAGGGGCAGAGGCAACAGCGGCAGGAGCGATGGAGGAGAGAGGAGGAGGAACAGAAGGAGGAGGGGAGGGGAGTGTGTGCTGTGAGGAGAGGGAGGGAGGGAGCCGGGGAGGGAGGGAGCGGGAGGACGGAGGGGCATGAGAGGAGAAGGAGCTGAGTGGGTGAAGTTGATGGCAGCTGGACTGAGTCCAAGTCAAGGCTCTGATGGCTCCGACTAGCATGCGTCCGGCTGCTGGCCTCATTGTGCCCGGGCCCAACTTTCGCCGAGCCCGGGCCGGCTGGCCCCAGTGGGTCCCTCAGTACCGTACTTAACACCGGGTGAGCTTTGTTTCATGCCGCATTTGGAAAGGGCTAAAAGATTGGTCGGAAAACTTCAAATCTTCAGATCACCTGAAAGTAGGTTTGGTTGACACCTTGAAATCAGATCGGAGGATTTCAAAGTTTGCCTTCATTGAAATTACCAGAGTCGTTTTGAAAATATATGGGATATTTTGAAATCGAAGTGCTAGTTGCACAAAATTTGGGCGTCGCTGAGGCTGGAATGGTTGCTGAGAGCAGGAGGGCAGATGCTGAGGCAGATGGGAGTGGAGACGAGAATTTCTCTCAGTCCCTCTGATTCGTTTCCAAGATACTTTCAGCTAGCAAAGAGGTGAAGATATTCATAATTTGATAGGAACGGATTTTGTTTTCCTATCTCTGTCATGACGACGAAGTCTCGAGACGATGATATCGACTGGCCCAGCTTAGTCAAGCCTGACACGCCACAAGTTCCACATCGGCTTCATTTCGTCCCTGTAGACATCACTACCAGCCCAAACGATCCTTGTTTGAACCTCAAACAAGAGTACAACCGGATCCAATCCATCATCTGCACCATAGATGCTAATAATCTCTCCCGTCCGTATTCCTGTGCATGGGGAGAGGTTGTCAAGGAGGTCCGGACCCGAAAGCCTCTGATTCTTCACTTCAGCTGCCATGCCGAAACAGAGGCGATCAAGCTTTTCAGACGCAATGTCGATGTTGAAACAATGGCCGATGCTCTCAAGGCTCACAACGAGATTTCGAAGAGATCAGGAGCAGCGCAGGTGCAGCTAGTGGTGCTCAACGCATGCTCGTCTGATGAGCATGCGAAGAAGCTGACGGAGGTCGTTGACTTCGCGATTGGGCACAAAGACGGGCTGAACGACGATGATGCTATTGAGTTTTCAGATATTTTCTACAGTATGCTATTCCATGGAAAGTCCTTGCTTGAAGCAATGATGGGAGCGAGAGGCTGCTCTCGAGGATACAGGCTGTATGGTCGATGCGATGCCTCAGCTTTCCGGCTAGGATGTCCAGTGAGTCATTGTCAGAGTTTGAGGGTTCAAGACTGGGCATTAGAAGATTTTCAAGACAAGACTGACAAGTCTGTGGAAGAGCTGACAGAGCAGCTGAGTTCACATCGCAAGAAGGAGTTCTGGTGTGTCGTCGGCGTAAAGGTGAGGGAGATGTCGGAACGCACAGCTCGACTCTGTTCTCCCACAGCCGATGAGAGTGGATTGGCAGAAACTGATGCATTGATTCAATCAAACACGAATGTTGCAAGCGACCCTGCAGACGAACATGGTCAGATTGAGCTAGTCGTTGCGAGAAATGAGAGAGAAAAAGGTGACTTGGAGACGCACATTACTCAGCTTCTGCGAGACTTCCGAAATTTTTCTGAGAATCATACGATCTCTGTCAACGACAGCAAGCATATGCACACTGAGAATGATGGAAAAGAAGCTCAACCATGGACGATGTGCATGTTGTTGTGGTTGAAGGTGATGAGGGATGCCAGATTGCATGAGGAAAGCAGGGAAAAGTTGGACAAATGCATCTCTGAGTCTGCATCACAAAATGAGCTTTTGGAAGTGCTAGAAGACATATTTAGGCATCGAGATGTGACATGCAAGTATTGGGATAGAGCGGAGTTTGATGCTTGGGGCTGGAAGAAGAAGTACGCGTCCATTATCTTCTTAACGGACAGGATTGTGAGCGCTTGTCTTCCGGACACCGAATCTTGCAAACGAGCATGGATTGGGCATGTAATGAAAGATTGGGAGAAGAACAATGAGCGTGCTGGCCAGATCTTGGAGAGAATGAACAGGTTTCTATGGTCAAGGGTTGAGTCCATCCAAATCGTCACTAGCTTGATTGAGACTCCAAGCAACGTTTGTTACATGATAATGGATAAGATCACTTCTCTTATCCTGTTCGAGTACCTCGACATCTACAAGAGACAGAAGACGGCAGAGGCGAAGAAGCAGAACAAATCTGCTTCAAGCATGACCTGCCTCTTTCATGGGTTCTGCTTGTTCATCTCAAGCACATCGAAGGCCTTTGCTTTGCAGAAGATCGGTGGTCAGAAACTTCGTCAGATTCGATCAAATCTCCGCATTCTCGCTCGTCTGCCTAGTCGCTTTCTTCTTTATATGAGGCCGGCGAGGCGAGTTGAGAAGCTACTGGAGGAGGAAGGAAGGAGCATATTGACCGCTCATCAGCAGGAGAAAGCGAGGGAGTGCGAGGAAGCGATGGAGGGTAGGAGGGGAATTCACCTGCAAGGCCCAGCAGGGACAGGCAAGACTTTCATGGCGCTGCATATGATGCTAAGAGAGCTGGAAAAGGACAGGATCTGCTCGATTTTGTTCATGCTGCGCTCTGAAGCGTTTGTGTTCTTCATCGCGCACTGGGTCTCCTCGATGATGAAGTGGAAGCTGGTGGATGCAGGGCTGTTTGATCGGATCTTCTTTTCCTTCCGCGGGGAGACAGGATGGGATGGTCCTTTCTTGATAACGGAGAAGGATGATGGTTGTCTACGGAAGAAACAGGAGAAGGTTGAGATGCAGAGTAAGGACGAGTTGGAGTACAAGTATGTAGTGATTGACGAAGCGCATCATGTGTTCTGCGATGAGGAAGCAACGGACTTTATCAGGAAGAAGCAGTACGACATGTCCACAATGCTGCTGATGTCTGACACCTCGCAAGCTGATGTCACAAACATCGCTTACCCTCAGGATCTTCAAGACGTATACCTTACAGAAGTTGTCAGAAACAGCAACAGGACGATGACTGCTTCGTTGTTGTTTCATAGAGGTATCTCAAAAGATGAAGTCTCGTGCCCTCACAAGGTTGATGGTCGTCCAGTCAAGCCTTATATCTTTGCGTTTACTTCGGAAGTTGAACTAGCAAGCGAGTACATTCCTCACATACTGCAAGCGATGAAAGATGTGATAGCAGAGTTTTCTGGAGACCTAGACTGGAATATCGCGATTCTTGCACATGAGAAGCTTATCAATCAGGGCTTGAGACAAGTACTGCAAAACCATCTGAACCAAGATGAAGACTTCCAGTCAAGGTTCTCACTCGTTGCGGCTGTTGATGCATGGAAGGCTACTCAAACCAGCAAGCATGAACAATGCAAGGAGAAGATCGTGTTTGACACTGTCGCAAACTTTGACGGGATGGAGAGCAAGATAGTGATTGCAGTGGGTCTTGATATGGAAGAGCAGGACAGGGACCTCAACATGCATCGTTCGCTGTTGTACCGGGCGATCACCCGGACGCTGAAGGAAGGAATGGTGATGATAGTGAATCATCGGGTCAAAGAGGGGATATTGTCTTTCCTGGATGGGATAGAGTTTGAAGACAAGTTTGATGTGGAAGAGGAGAAGAAGAAAATCAACAAGACTCTTTGTGATCATATTGAACAAATGGAGCGAGAAAAGAGTTTACCAAAACAGAACGACGAGGGAGGGAGGAAAAAAAGGAGGCTGAGGGCGAATCATATGATGAAGACACAAGTACCCCATCGCACTCAAAGTTTATCATCATCGTTCCCGACTTCCAGCAATCAAGATGATCCAGGTAGCACAGTCTCATTGTTTCATGAGCTCTGCATTCTTACTCTTCTCCTTGATTTTTCAGGTTCTGTTGCTTTTCACATCTCTCCAGGTGCGCAAGCAGCGGAAAAGACTAGACCTGTACAACAGGTGACGTACAACTCTTCTATCGTTCTCTATCGTGCAGACAGTTGAAAGAATCTTGAGATCACTAAGCTCTGCTACAGATCGTTCAGTCAGTCTGGGACACGAGAAGGCACGAAACAGGCGGAAGCGGTTTTGTAGCCTTCGAGCCCTACGTGCGTTGCTCAACGGGACTCCACGAGGAGGCAGTAAGCAATATCGAAGTTGTAGATATCGAACTTAAAGGTGATAAGTTGAGACAGATATGCGTATGCTGCAATCGCATAAAGGAAAAAGCAGGAGAAGAAGCAGGGCAAGAGGAAGGACAGAAGGCTCTCTTTCCGTGCGACTCAGCTCCCTATAAGGTGTTGTTGCTCGTAGATGCGGACGAGCAAAGCGACTTGAGACTCGAGAAGGATAGGGACTTGATGAGACATCGTTTCATAAAAGGATCTCACGAGACGGGAGATGCTGCCTTGATCAAGTTTGCTAAGAGCGTGAGCTTCGAGTACAGCTGCTTCAGAAACATGTCCGCCATCACCCGCATGGTCAATTTGACTGATCCGGTCATTTTGCATCTCACCTGCCATGGCTCTAAGGAAGGCAACATCACCATAGGAGGCGTGAGCATCACGGCTGAGCAGCTCAGCATTTCTCTGAGTCTGATGGTCAAGAATTGTACGAAGCTTCGGCTGGTGGTGCTGAACCTCTCTTACTCGAGCACCGTAGCAAAGGAACTGATCAAGCATGTGGACTTTGTGATCGGACACGAAACAGCAGTAGCTTATGAGGACACGATCGACTTTTCGAGGCACCTCTACTACTGGATGGGGCGCAACTACACTCTACATGAGAATGTTCGGGCAATGTCACGCAATGCACGTGTTCCGGAGAGCCATCTGCTGGCTCGTGTGTCAAGTCACCTGATCACATGGAAGGGACGGGAGAGTATCAACAACCATCTACCAGGAAATGATAGACCAACGGTCAAGAAGATGAAGATTGCATTCGATGCTACAGGCAATCTTGCACCAACGGCAAAATCCCCCCCGAAAAAGCACCAATCTAAATCAGACCACTCATTGTTAATGAGTCAACTTGAACAAGCACAGACTACACAGGAGATGGTAAATAGTTTGAAGGCAATGAACCAATTTGCAAGTAAGAGCCAAACTACGGAACAAGAAATAACCTTGATCATGAGGACGATGGAGAAGAATATCAATTGCATGGAGGTACAGCACCAGACATGTATTAGGCTTGGAATCTACGCAGAAAGCAACAAGAAAAATCGAACTATTATAGCAGCAAAAGGTGGCATCGAAGCTATCATACTTGCGATGAAGGTACATCTTGCGAGCGAGGCTTTACAGCAGCAGGCATGTGTGGCGCTGGAGAACCTTGCTGAAGACGACGACAACAAAGTCAAGCTGGCTAGGCTAGGTGGCATGGAGACTGTCATAGGCGCCATGAAGGCGCATCAAACCAGCGAAGGCGTACAGGAGCAGGCGTTGGGGGCGCTGGCGAACCTTTCAATGAACGAAGACAATGCAGCAAAGCTGGCTGTGCTAGGAGGCATGGAGACTGTCATGAGGGCGATGAAGGCGCATCCTGCAAGCGGTGTTGTTCAGGAGCAAGCATGTGTGGCGCTTGCAAACCTGGCTGTCAACGCGGACAACGCAGCAAAGCTGGCTGGGCTAGGGGGCCTGGAGACTATCTTGGGGGCGATGAAGGCACATCGATACAGTCAAGGCGTACAGGAGCAGGCGTTGGGGGCGCTGGCGAACCTGGCTGAGAGTGCCGATATTGCAGTCAAGATTGCTGTGCTAGGAGGCATGGAGGCTATTATGCGAGCGATGAAGGTCCATCCGACTAGCGAGGTTGTACAGCAGTACGCGTGCTGGGCGCTCGCAAACCTGGCTGTCAATGCGGACAACGCAGCGATGCTGGCTGACCTCGGGGGCATGGAGGCTATCATGGGTGCGATGAAGGCGTATCAGTCGAGTGAAGCTTTACATGAGCAGGCGTGCAGGGCGCTATTGAATTTGGCATCCACCTTTAAAACCATGGTTGTGTAATTTTGAAATCTGTCTCCTTCAAATGATTTTATTTTCAGAGTCATATGGTAGTTCCTCATGTAAGAACTTGTGTTCGCATTGCTATGGAAACATATCAGCACAACGCAAATATTCAAGAGTTTGGTAGACATTGTCTTGAAATGATTTGACAAGAACTATTTTCGGTAGGTGATTTTGAAATCTTTGAAATGCTCTTTAAAATGCCACATCATGACGAGTTGGGACCATGTATGAACGTCAAAGCGACCCTCAAGCAATTCATTTTATTCAAACAAAAACAAACAAAAACAAATGATGATTCCGGCATGGAAAGGCTTTAAGGAGAGATGTGTTCACTCTGCAATATCGAGGGGACCAGTCTCAGCGACTTATCAGTTTTTGCCAATACACATAAGCTTCATCTCATTGTTAAGCTTAAACTCTTGTGCACTTTCCCTCCATAAGAATTTAAGTTGAGAGTGTGAAAGAACTAGTCCGAGCCAATGTGCGGCAACGACTACTATTGTTTGAAAGTGATAACTATCTTATTTCGGTCCAGTGGGCCACAATAAGGCCACACTTAGAGAAGAACAAGTCAAGACTCGCTTGATGGCAGCTGGAGTCCAAGTCAAGGCTCTGATGCCTCTAGCGCTCACAGATGCTCGCTTGACGCTGCTTGACACATGCGTGCTCCAGCTGGTGCTCTGCTCTCGCAGCCTCGTGGAGGAGCTGAGAGGAACCCAGAGGTTTTGCTCACGGGAGTGCGATGAGTCTGAGGAGCTGAGAGCATGTCGTCATGAAGCTCGCCGGGCTGCAGTGACGTCTGGGTCATTACGGATGGAGATGAAGCTTGATGCAAGGCCATCACCCGAGCGCTCCCTGACGCATGCGCGTGACAAGAGCAGCCTCGGTGAAGCCTCCAGCTGACAACAGCTGGTCTACGCCAGCTGACCCCTGGACTCAAGGGTGGGTCGAGCTCGGGGGAGGTATGGCGATGTGGAGAAGAGGAGGAGAGTCAGTCTTGGCTCTACCTCTCTCTCTCTCTCTTGAACAACCCGTCACTCTCCTCGCTCGCTCTCATGACATCGATCTCACTCTATCCCTCATCTCATCTCCCTGCTGCTGTGTGCTGTCGCTCTCCCTCTCTATGCCTTGCTGGCCACAGGGTCCTCGACCTACGGCCACAGCTGCTGCTCCTCACCCGCCAGCTGCCTCCTCCAGCGAGAAGCTCTCTGCTGTGCTCTCGACTCGGGCCGTGCGGCTCATTTATAACGTTGAGAGTAACGGGCATCAGGGTTCGATTCGTCCGATGTCGGATCTTGGTTTGTTGTGGGTGGGTCGCGGATTTCCTCGCATACTCTGTAGTTTGCATTCGTTGTGCTCAGAAGGGAGCTGGCGAAGGTCGGTGCCTCTACGTGCCCTGCAGTCGGCGATGGGCTGCTGCTCATGCTGAGCGCTGCGTGTGGTGGGGACGGTGTTGGTTGTAAAAAATGATAAAATTGCTGTTAAAACTGTTTTTATCATTACACACAATGGTATTTTATATATTGTTGGTGGTACAAGGACCTTCAAGCGTAGTTCAACAAGTACTTACGTTGGACTTCTCTACTAGTAGCTCAACAAGTACTTACGTTGGACTTCTCTACTAGTAGCTCAACAAGTACTTACGTTGGACTTCTCTACTAGTAGCTCAACATGCACTTACGTTTGACTTCTCTACTAGTAGCTCAACATGCACTTACGTTGGACTTCTCTACTAGTAGCTCAACATGCACTTACGTTGGATTTCTCTACTAAGAGGGAAAGCGGTGAAACAGAAGGAGAGCTAACTCTCTTTATTCTCTCTCACACATACAAGACAAACAAAGCCAACGCAACTATAGGCGTGGCACAAACACAAGGGGTAACAGGACCACCTAGCTCTGACGACGATGATCCTCTTCTACCTGAACAGAGGGAAGCAGGGGTCCAGTCTTCAAGTGGTAGAAGGGGGGGGGTAGAGCTGCTGCTAACAGGGGTAGTCATCTCCTTGGAAGTTGACAGGTTTCTCTCCTTAGATGTTGCACAGCCTGACAGGTTTCCCATAGGAGGCCTTGCGGTCTCATCGGGAAGAGAACCCCGTCCTCGCACAAGAGGAGGCTGCTTTCAACGGGTTGTGCTCCACAAGAGCCAAGAGAGGAGAAGCGAAGCCTGCGTCCTCATGACTTGCCAGCCTCAGCACCCGCTGTCGCACATGCCTCCCCAGCAGGTGACCGAGCAGCTGCAGGACCGAGCAGGCGAGCTGCCGGCCATGGCGACCTCACCGCTCGCTGTCGGCAGGCTCAGGGGCATAGGAGGAGAGGGGGAGGAGCGGAGTAGGACCAGACGCGAGGGGAAGAGAGGAGTGGGTGGTTGTGGCTGGAGGTGAGCCGGGGAGGGTGGGGGTCACGAGAGAGAGTCAGACCAGGGGGTGATGTAGGGGAGGAAGATAACCAGGACTGAAGCGAGGCGGGAGATCACTGCCCAGCGCCGAGGCGGATGCGCTTGGGGCTCGTCATGGCGTTAGGAGGAGGATGCGCAAGGGATCAAGGGCGGGAGGAGGTGGCGAGGGGATGTGCAGGAGGCGAGGAGTAGACTTGTATCATGTGAGAGAAGCTTGAGCAATGATGGCTCGTACCCTCCCTCGTTCGCTCCTCCCTCGTCAGGTCTTGCAAGTGTCCCCGCAGCCCTCTCCTGCCATCTCCACGCGCCTGATCAAAGCGAGGGACGGGCCGGGCGGGGAGATGACTGTAGGATAGAAGGGGGTGGGGATGCGGGCCATGTCCGTACGGGGGTGATGTAGGGCCGGAAGTTAACCTGAGGTCAGATGTCGGTCGGGGAGGGTGGGGGTCATGTGAGAGCCTGAGAGCAGGGGGTGACGTAGGCCTGGAAGTTAATCAGACGCAAGGGGAAGACAGGGGTGGGTTTGGTCAAGGAGGCATGGGGGTCATATGAGGACAGGGGTGGGAGTGGAGGCTCAAAACGTGACGGAGGGCCTCAGCAGCTCCTCCCCGCATGTCTCCGCCAAGTACCGCAGCACCTCCAGCTGCCCTCCAGCACTCGCCCAGAGCGCGCATGTCCTGTCAAACTCGTCCTTCTCCCTCAGCAGCTCCTCTCCGCATGTCTCTGCAATATATCGCAGCACCTCCAGGTACCCTCCAGCACTCGCCGCCGTCGCCCAGTACATAAAGGTTCTCCGTTTCTCGTCCTTCGCTCTTACCTCTGCTCCTGCCTCGATCAGCTCCCTCACGCTCCCCGCCCTCCCCAGCATCCACGCTACATGCAACCCTGTCCTCCCGTCCTCCATCCGCTCGTCCATGTCGCATCCAGTATCATCCGGCTCTACCTTGGACGAGAACAACCGGAGGCAGCTCATTGTGTTACCCTTCTGAGGGCCAATAACGTGATGAATCGGCAAGGCCGGGTATGACAGCTAGTTGTGAATATGATTCAGTTGCCTTCCAGTTGGCTTGAAAACTGACAACAACCGACGAGGAAATGTGTGTTCCTCGCTCATCTCTTCTCTTCGTCCGGGATAAACTTCGGGCAGCTCGCCAACCCTGTAATATGTGTCAGTACGCCGCTTACCCAGATGCTCGTCCAAGAATCATTTAGGTGCATCTGGTCTCCCTCAGGACTCGTGATCCCTCGTGAGTCAGTCGTCATCCTGTCATCCCATCCATTGTTGTGCTATCTTTCTCTTCTCCTCCAGCACGTCACCCCGACTTTTTCTTTCTAAATCCTCAAAGACTTGGTTACCGTATCCTTCCGTAATCCCTTTGAGCCAAGATTAGTGTCTTCCTATCCTACCTTCTCTACTCTTTTCACTAGTACTCCTTGTCCGCCGTGAGGCTTGTGCTCTTGCTTTCATTCTTCTCCTATCTGCATGCATTCTGCCGTCTCTCATCTGATCAAGGGAACGATGAAAGTAGGCAGCATGGAAGGGGAGGATGAAACAAGACAAGATAGAAACGAAGAAGAGGAACGATTGAAACAACCAAAAAGCGATAGAAACAACCAAAACGAACGAAAAGGAAGTCGCCCACTACAAACAGGAAGAGCTTAACCAGTAGACAGGGAGGTGAGTGAGATTGCAAGAGTCATGGGAGAGGATCTCGAGTCTGTTGATGGTGTTGCAGGTAATTCAACGGCGGGCGAGACGAAGATGTGAAGGGAAGACAAGCAATTCAAGATTCGAGCAGAGATTCGAAGGAGACAGGCAAGATCAGGCAAGTGTTTGGAAATGTGACGTCAAAGGAAGTCAAAAGTCAGTGTGGGTCAAAGGATGTCAGAATCCAGTGTGACTACAAAGGAAGTCAGTTGTCACAAGCGGAAATGATCAAGAGGAAAAGAAAGAAAATCAAGGAAGAGGCGCGCATATAGAAAGGGAAGTAGACAATTGGAAACAAGGGAAATCAGATGATCATGGTAGCGAGAAAAGCAGATGAACACAGACGGAGGCAATGCACGTGTACATGTAGCAAAGGAGGCAGGAAGATCAATCCATGAAGCGATACGCGATCAGAAGTAAGGGAAATTCCAATACAATCAAGAAACCATGATGCCCCTGGTATGAGCAACCCTGCAGGCATGTCTCGAGGAAGCACGTGACCTGCTGGCTCCTCATCACCATGCTCAGAGCGCAGGAGCAGGACGGGTAGCGCCCCCCGGTTTGCTGCCATTGCAGGACTGTGAGGGAGGAAGGGTGGGGTGATGAGTCATACTGGGGTAGGGGTACGCAAGGACCCACCAGTGGGTATCACTGATGGGCTATATCACCCCTGGTCATATCTACCCCTACCCGGCCCTACCTGTCCTCCACCCCTAGTCATCTTCATTCAGTGTTATGTAATGGATATATTGGATGGTCTTTGTCATAAGTAGGCGGATGTGACTGCATTGCGGTGTGCCAGGGGTAGTACTAGTACAGGTCAAAAGAAGGGGTACTTCTCCCTAATAAGTTAGAAAAGCGGCCGAAGGCCGCGGGTGATGGTTATGCTTGTTTGCTCAGTCTTAGTCAACACCTAAACTTGTAAGATATTCCTTGACATCTGAGTTACGAGCCAGAGTCAAGCATGTTTTGCCGTCTTGGTCCTTCTCCCTCAGCACCTCCTCCCCGCATGTCTCTGCAAGGTACCGCAGCACTTCCAGATGCCCGTTTTCATTCGCTGCATGCGCGCATGTCCAGCCGGCTTTGGTCTTCTCCCTCAGCAGCTCCTCTCCGCATGTTGATGCAAGGTACCGCAGCACCTCCAGCTGCCCAACATTGCTTGCAAAGTGCGCGCATGTCCAGCAATCATTGGTCTTCTCTCTCAGCACCTCCTCCCCGCATGTCTCTGCAAGGTACCGCAGCATCTCCAGCTGCCCTTCCTGACTCGCTGCATGCGCGCATGTCCAGCCATCATTGGTCTTCTCTCTCAGCACCTCCTCTCCGCATGTCGCTGCAAGGTACCGCAGCACCTCCAGCTGCCCTCCCACACTTGCGAAGTGCGCGCATCTCTTGCCATCATTGGTCTTCTCTCTCAGCACCTCCTCTCCGCATGTCTCTGCAAGGTACTGCAGCATCTCCACATGCCCTCCTTGACTCGCAAAGTGCGCGCATGTCCAGCCGTCTTCGGTCTTCTCTCCCAGCAGCTCCTCCCCGCTTGTCTCTGCAAGGTACTGCAGTATCTCCAGATGCCCTTCCTGACTCGCAAAGTGCGCGCATGTCGTGCCGCCATTGGTCTTCTCTCTCAGCAGCTCCTCCCCGCATGTCTCTGCAACATACCGCAGCATCTCCAGCTGCCCTTTCTTACTCGCTAAGTGCGCGCATGTCGTGCCGTCCTCGGTCTTGACTCTCAGCAGCTCCTCCCCGCATGTCTCTGCAACATACCGCAGCATCTCCAGATGCCCTTCCTGACTCGCCAACTGCGCGCATGTCCAGCCGTCATTGTCCTTCTCCCTCAGCAGCTCCTTTCCGTATGTCTCTGCAAGGTACTGCAGCATCTCCAGCTGCCCTTCCTGACTCGCAAAGTGCGCGCATGTCCAGCCGTCATTGTCCTTCTCCCTCAGCAGCTCCTTTCCGAATGTCTCTGCAAGGTACTGCAGCATCTCCACATGCCCTCCCACACTCGCCAACTGCGCGCATGTCGTGCCGTCCTCGGTCTTCTCTCTCAGCAGCTCCTCCCCGTATGCCATTTTCATACAGTCTTTGGTATCACTTAGATCATGTTGAAGTCCCGTCTCATGCTGTTGGACGAGCCAGCGAGATCAGCGGATACAAGTGACGAAAGATTTTCATGTGAACTCCCTATGAGGTGTTTTCTGTCTGCAGCAATCTTGACGACGATGCCAAAGAAACAGCGAGCATTGCTTTCTCTGCTGTTCGTAATCCCTGGAAAGGATCTCGATTGTCATCGGAGCTCCTCGGAAGCTGTGCGTATTTGTTTCTGCCCTTGCGACTGTACATCCTCCCTCTCTTCCTGGCATCTCCCTTTGGGATGCTCCTCTCTGCTACTTCGATAGCTTTCCTTCCTCCCCTTCCTCTTCCTCCTCCCTCCTCTTCCTCCTTCTCCTTCTTCCTCCTCTTCCTTGCTGCTTCTCTTCTTTCTCCCCCCTCCTCTTTCTCCTCCCTCCTCTCCCTCCTCCTTCTTCCTCCTCTTCCTTCCTGCTTCTCTTCTTTCTAATGCAAGCAGCCGTGGCAGCTCCCGATTGCTTTCACCGTCAGCCAAGTCTCCATGCGTTTGTCTTCTCCTCCCTATCATCATCTAAGTGCTTGCAGCAGGTGAGGATCACACAGCTAGTTCCTTCACGTTCGGTTTGCATCGCCGAGTGAAAAGGAGGAGATCGTCGAGCAGAGAGCCTCAGAAGCGGACGAGGACGCTCATTGCAAGAATGAACGCGACATGTGTTTTCACCAAGAGCATGAGAGATGTCACCGTGCACTGGGGATTTAACGTAGACATAGACATATTTCAAAACTCATAAAAGAGATGTAGAATGATACCAGTGCACTTCGGAGTAGAACAGATGGGGAATGAAGCTAGATTTGTTTATGTACAGCAGTAAGAGAACACACGTCAATGTTCATGCAATCCCGCTTTGACGACGTGGCCCGGAGCGTCCAAGTTGGGTTGCTTATATGTCAAGGTCAGGCTTGAACTCGTAGTACAGCGCGGCGATGAGTAAACATGTGTACCGGTTTATAACAGCCTCATGCTTTCATCGTACTAATGTGCAGTACCGTACGTCTACGTCCCGTACACATCTTCGATTCTAGCATTGTACACCTCGCCAGCGAGCGTAGCCTCTTGATGATGCTGCCATGTCCGTTACCGACGTAACGGTCAGTGCGGGCTTTATCTGGTCTCCTCTCAGCCAAACCTCCTCCAGCTCTGCCATCCTGAGGGCAAGAAGGGCGTCTGCGATCTCGATCTCGTCTCCTGTGTCCTCAGCCTTCTTCAGCTCTGCCTCCCTGACCCTGATTCGTGCCTTGAGGATCTCGATCTTGTCTCCTGTGTCCTCAGCCTCCTCCAGCTCAGCCTCTCTCGTGTGCACAAAGTAGCTTAGCCTTGCCTGGTCGACTGACTTGCGTGCCCTCGCGACCTCGATCTCGTCTCCTGTGTCCTCAGCCTCCTTCAGCTCTGCCTCCCTGACTCTCAGGAGGGCGTCTGCGATCTTGATCTCGTCTCCTGTGTCCTCAGCCTTCTTCAGCTCAGCCTCTCTCTTGCGCAACGACAAGCTTTTGGCTGTCTGGTCGTCTAACTTGGATGCCCTCGTGATCTCGATCTCGTCTCCTGCGACATCTGCCTGCCTTGTCTCCGTGTGTGACCGGTCATGACTCCATGCAAACCGACTCTGATTGTCTTGTTTCTCACGATCAAGCAACTGCGGACCTCTACCTGTCGTGCCGTTTGCGCTCCGCTCCGTACGTCCCTCGAAAGCCTTGCTTGCTTGATCAAGGTCTTTCTTGGGAGTCAAAGAGTCTCCCTCGTCTCGTGGCTCATGCTTCATTGCACTGGCAAACCATAAAGAAGCAACCGTCAGGATGCAACAAACAATTCAATCTCTCTCCGCGAAATCTTCCCGATCCTCCGCTCACAAACTCACTATCTCTGGCATCTCACTCCTCCTACGTCACACTCCTCTACCCGCCGGCTTCACCTCCGATCACCCATCCATGTTTCACAATCGCCTACCTCGACAAGCGCAGCAGGTCAGAAGAGCTCCTCAGCTTGTGGCCGCGAGCGATCGGCAGCTGCCTCAGGGAGGGTACAAGCGGCAGGTAGAGCAAGGTTCCGACAAAAGAAACAAGCGACATGCCCGTCTTCTCGGTAGGATTCCACCCCCACCCCCTACGGAAGGATTCCACCCCCACCCCTTAGAGAAGGATTCCACCCCCACCCCCTAGATGACACAGTTCTCGGTAGGATTTCACCCCCTCCCCCTAGCGAATCATTCCACCCCCACCCCCTAGATGACACAGTTCTCAATAGGATTTCACCCCACCCCCTACGAAAGGATTCCACCCCCACCCCCTCGTTGACACAGTTCGCCCCCCCACCGCCTAGATGACACACCCCCACCCTCTAGATAACGCTTCGCCAGTAGAAAGCCACCCGCCTCAGACCATCAGTACCAAATGCACAGAAGGCAGCAACAACACATACCCGGAAGGTACCATCGCACACAAAAGG